GCATCACAGCTCACAGCAACCTCAAACTCTTGGGCTTAAGCAATTCTCTTGCCTCAGTCTCCCAAGTAGCTGGGACTACAGGTGCCCGCCACAATGCCTGGCTATTTTTTGGTTGTAGTTGTCATTGTTGTTTGGCAGGCCTGGGCTGGATTCAAACCTGCCAGCCTTGGTGTATGTGGCTGGTGCCCTAGCTGCTGAGCTACAGCAGCCTGGATTATCTTCTTTGGATTATCTTTCTTTCTTGAAAACTTTGTTGCAATATTGCTATAATATGTATGTTAAAACTAAGCTGATATTTACTGTTTCAGTAGCTTCTCCTCCAGCCAGTTATTAGGACAGTGAACAATATGTAACCTCCTCTGCACGGGACCTGTAGACATAGAAGGTGTTACATGGAAGTACTTGGTGGACTGAATATTAAGCTGTCACTATATATTAATGGGTAACTCTTAATATTTTCTAATGGATTTTAATAAATATGTATTTGCTTATATTTTGCAGGTGAACCACTGAATTCTTCATTATGTCTGATGGAGATTATGATTACCTCATCAAGTTTTTAGCTTTGGGAGACTCGGGAGTAGGGAAGACCAGTGTACTTTATCAGTACACAGATGGTAAATTTAATTCCAAATTTATCACGACGGTGGGGATTGATTTCAGGGAAAAGAGAGTGGTAAGTTCTTAAGGCTTCTATATAAAATTGTAATCTCTGAGTCAACATTTGCCTGTCTATTTAGTTTACTGTGTAGGAATTAGGTGGACAAAGGTTGGGATCTAAAATTAATACACATCAAAGTACGTGTTACGTTCAGTCCAGGCAATTGATCGAACAGGCTGTGTAGAAGGACACTTCATATGAAACCAAGCAGAAAAACGAAAAGTGAACCGTTCCTTTAAATTTTATTACAGTATCCTTTTGGCTCGTATTTTCCCTCGAACCTACAAAAAATTAATTTGTCTACCTTCGTCATGAAGCCTGCCAACCACCCTGTCCTGCTTACCCATTTTGTGGGCTCTATCTTCCCCTTTGGTATCTGATCGTTTTTACTGGCATTCTTCTTAAAGTTTCAGCACTCCCACATGGAACACTGAGTGGCAGGAGTCATCACTGCTGCCGGGAGGGTGAGGTTGGAGTAGGGGTGGGGAATGCCAGCAGTGCACGTCATGTTCTGTAGAATTTGAAGGGAGAGGCCTGTTTTAATTTTTTTAATGGATCTTGAGACTGAGTGTTATTCTACTGGTAGATGGTCATGCAGAAGGCTGTGGTGTCACAGTTGCAAAAACAGGAAGATAGCCTTCTCTATGGACTACGTTTCCTTGTTGAAAAAAATCTATGTTTACAAGAAGCAGGTCAGCAAGTGGTCAGGAGGTTAATGACAAAGGCTCTTCTATGGAATGCATTCTACCAGGGATGATACAGAATCCTGGTGCAAAAGAAGAAATCATTGCTTTTTGTCCACTCCAGGACTTTTCTTCTTATAGCCTTTTTTTTTTTTTTTT